TTAGCACCTCATTTTAAGGGCACATAGAGTGTACAGAATGAGGACCAGGACAATTGAGGACTGAGAAAAGGGTATCCAGGCTGTGGCACTTGGGCACAGCTGTAGATAGTGGGTCAGATGGTGAATTAGTACCATGATGGCCCGAGATGGGTGGGGTGAGCCCAGTTCTGCCCCTGCCTAGGGGAAGCACCACCAAGGGAAATCATAAAAGGGGAGAAGAAAAAGAAGGAAAACAGGAGGAAAGTAAGAAAATGTGAGACCAAGGCACTACAGCATCTGCTTCTCAGGGAAGCTGGGAAGGGAGGAGGACTGATTTAATATTCTGACAACTATTTAAACATAATGAATGATTTTCCTTTAAATCCTATATATTCCATTTTAAAGTATTTATAAACACGTTTTTGAGAAGTGTTTTACCAAGCTGCCAAAGGGATATTTGGCCAGAAAAATGATGAAGAATGCCACTCCATGCAATGATTCCACAAGGAAAAATATGTGTTCAGCCAAGGGACAAGCTTGGGGCACAAAAGGCTGAAGGAAGGAAGACTGATGATATGGGATGCTCAAGAAAATTTAAGTAGACAGGTAGGAAGGTAGGTAGGTAGGTAGGCAGGCATGCAGGCAGGCAAGCAGGTAAGTACGTAGGTAAAGATAAAACAGATTGTTTTTGCATTGCTGGGGATTGAACCTAGAGCCTTGCACATGCTAAGAAAGTACTAAGCTATAACTTCCAAGCATGACTTATTCTTAATAATGTCTTGGTAATTTAAGCTAATGAATAAAAAACTGACAAGATTTCAGTTCTTTTCCTAGCTGTATCTATTAAAGTGGATTTGCTACACTCTTTTCTTTTCTCATTTTCTACTCTTTTCCATAACACTTTATCTTTTTTCCTTCCACCATACAGCTTCTTACCTCCCACTGTCTATCATCTTCCTTCCCCACCATCACTGTTATTTCACATTACATTCTTCAGCTTTATGCATATGTTAATAAACTGTAAAGTGTAGCACTTGTAGCCATTTTTAAAATGAGACATTAATGGGGCGTACTTCATTGCAATACACCATTTTAAAATACTGCACTTTTGTTTCTTTCTGTAGTGGAGTATTTTATCCTAGTTAAGTACTGTGTTAGTGTGTTTTTTCCTCTTTATGCTGTAATTGCCTATTATGTGCTCAGGCGAAAACTCTGTAAAATGCTTAATAAAGGCATTTCAAGTTTAAAAAAAAAAAAGGACTCTACCCTAGCTAGAAGATCTTTCTCTCTCTCTCTCTCTCTCTCTCTCTCTCTCTCTCCCTCCTCCCTCCTCTTTCTTTTTTTAACATAGGCCCAGCATACAGTGTCTGGCATTTAATTTAAAAAAAAAAAACTACCCAAAGTATACTGAGTAAATGAATAAAACATATACTTTAAGTCAATTATTTAATTCCTTTATGTTTTTTAAAAACAATCACAATAGTTTTTTATTGTCCAAATAGTGTAAAGGCAGATATGACACATCTTGTTATCTCTAAAGCATAACACTAACAGCGCTAACTTTTCAGATTGACTTTTGAAACCTATTTTTTTAATCTTACAGTTTTCCATTATGTTCTGCAAGATTTTGAAAAATTCATTTACAAAGGCTTTTTGTCATATGAAGCAGTAATCAGGACAATTCGCAAAGGTCACTCCCAGTATAAAATGCAGCCATCCCAATGCTTAGGACTGCACGTTGAAAAAGGACAGCAAGGTTAGATAGCTGCTAACTACCAAATACCAAGAAAAGAACAGACACACAACAAATTATCAACATAATTTTTAAACACGTGCAAATCCTTACTGCCCTAGAGTATTTAGTATAGCTCTGGAATACTTTAAGAAACAGACAGACATCAAACTTCAGATTTCTCCCATAGAAGCTCTTGAGAGGAAGAGGGTCTGGGAAGTTTCCAAAGCCAGATGAACTATCTGATAAACATTTCCTCATGCTCTCTCTCGGTAACCTGAGGATCCTAAAATATCTTCTATTGATTTCTAATTTATTAATGCTACATAGCTTTTATAAATATCATCTGAACACATTTAGATATAATACCTATCGTTTCAGCATTAAAGTATATACAAATGGGTTTGACCTAAGCAAGTTGCCAGTTTCTTAGAAGTATTTGTGCAGGTAAAAAGAACTATAATCAAATAAAGATTCCAATGCATAGTTAAGCTGCAGTGGGATGTTAGTGTTGTTTAGCATCTAGTTTCCATTTCCAAACAACTATAAATAAGATATGAGACAGCAAACAAACCTACGTAATACCAACTGGTACTAGAAGACAACAAGAGGCTTTTTTTTTCCTGGCAAACAGTTATTTTATTGTGCATGCTATGCTTTCAGAAAAGCTGAATAAACTTTCCTCTGCACTTTTAAAATTAATGTGTAAACATATCAGTACACATCCAACTGAAGATTTTGGCAGAAGAAAATGTAAATCTCAAAGTATCTTTATACACATATACAACAAAAACAGTAAGGAGAAGAAACATTTCATTTAAAAATAAAATATCTATGTAATTAATCATATAAGTTGATACTGAATTTTAAAAATAGCATTCTTGCCAGTTATTTCTGCTCCCTAGGTAGTAGAGAATTTTATGCTAGTAATTTTAATTTGGTTCTTATCAAAATTCATATGGAAAAACTGGATTTAGTGAATATTCAAGTATGAACTATGTTTAATCCCTGATTTCTAAAACATTATCCCCAGTTCTAAAATTTAACTTGAGAAACCTATTACAATACTTAAGCAAAGTCAAACAA